AAGCAAGAGTTATCTGGGAGAGGGAACCTCAACTGAGAAATTGCGTCCAAGAGATTGGCCTTGGGTTAATGATTGATGTACCCAGCCCAGAGCAGGTGAGCAATGGAGAGCCACGGTGAGCAATCCAGTAAGCAGCACCCTTCTGTGGCCTCAGTTACTGCCTCCAGGTCCCTGTCTTGAGTTCCTGCTCTGGCTTCTCTCAGTGATAGACTGTGACCTGGTACCAGTAAATCAAATTAACTCTTTTCTCTCCAAGTTGCTTATGGTCACAGTGTCTAGCCCAGTGACAGGAAACAGAGCAGAACAAATGGACAGAACTTTAAATACATTAGCTCGATAATTGAAGGCTTCCAGTAACATGTGGCTACTGGAACTTCTCAGGTGTCTGGGCAACACTCAGACCTGGAGTTGTTAGCCTTGGCTCCTTTATTCTGCTCATTCGATTATTTGCCTTTGGATATGTTTCTTACTCTTTCCCTGTTCTGCTCAACCTCGCAATGGGCTGTTTCCCAGGAATAATGTCCCTGGCTTTTCTCCCAGATGGCTTCAGCTTCAGCTCGGCTCTGTCGGTTGCAATCTGTGATAAAAGATGGAAAGCCCTATATCTCCTTTTTACATCTGGGGGTGGCAAGAGTGTTTTCCATATCACATGCCTTTTGTTTTGCTGGTAGATGTGTGCACATGTGGACATAAGAAGACTGTCTTACAATCTGGCTTTGATTCTCAGCTTTTGCTATACTTATATATACCTATATTACTTAAAATATCAACTAATTTCAGATTTCCTGGACCACAAAAATGAGAGCTTGTCCTGGGTAAAACTGAAGGACTTAAGGTGGTTGTCTGTGTTAAGCAGGGCTCTCTAGAGGACCAGAGCCACCACAACATATATGTATGCATATGGATTCTGAAAGGGGGTGCATTCGACTGTTTACACGACAAAGGCTGAGTGATCCGACAATGGCCTCTGCACACTGGAAGGCTGAGTACCTGCTTGCCTGTCGGTCCAAAAAACCGGATGCCTCAGCGCCTGCTGGAGAGTTCCTGGTCTGTGGTCCACCCTGAAGCCTAAGAGGGACACAGTCCGATAAATCAGTAAAGGACGTAGCAGTGGCATCAGCAATGACAAATACAGTAACCATCAAGGAATGGAGACAGTGACAAAGACAGGAAGGCAAAGACAGGCAAGAGAAATTGCTTTTGACTTGGGTATCTTTGGATCTGGGTCGCGCACTGGAAGGTCTCATCAGCACTGAGTAGAAGGTCTTCTCTTGGTTAGTTTTTCCTGGACATATCTTCACAGATCCCATTAAGTTGACAACATTATTAGCCATCACTAAAAAGAACAACAACAACAAAACAACAGTAGGCTGGAGAGATGGCTCAGTGATTAAGAACACTGGCTTTTGTTCTAGAGGACCCAGGTTCAATTCCCAGCATCCATGTGGCAACTCACAACCATCTGTATCTTCAGGTCCTGATGCCCTCCTCCAGCTTCTGTGGTCACCAGACATGTTTTGCAGACCAAACAATACACACAAAATAACAAAACAAATCTAAAAACAAAATAAAATAATTTTAAAAAGTAAAGGAAAATAAAATAACAACAAAAAATTAACATTCACTGGTGATACATGCCTATAACAAACGAGGAAAAGGACTAGGGAGAGGAGGAGAGAGAGGCAAGGGAAGGAGGAGGAAGAGGAGGGAGAGAAGGAGGAGGAGGAGTCTGTTTCTAAATCACCTATAACCCCCCAAACAAGCAGAGCTTAGTGACTCAGTTTTGCCAAGTAGCGAATGAAATTATTGATCTTGGGGATCACCGTCACCATGCTCAATTAGAACCCACCATGATTCTGGCCCTGTGAAAATCATTCAGCATTTTTTAGAGTTATGATTTCTTTCCTTCTCTCATGTAAGAATTTAAAATGACTTTAAAATGAAAGTTTAAAATTCTTGGTTTAAAAACAGAAGGAAAAAAGTATCAACACAGGTTTTCTTTTGAAATGTTTGAATTCTTACAGAGTACAAGCAAGGAAATAATGATAAATCAGTAGAAACATAATTTCCAAAAACATGGTGTTATATATTTGTATAATATAATAATAAATAGGAATACATTTTCTTTTTTGTTTTTTGTTTTGTTTTGTTTTTTTTGAGACAGGGTTTCTCTGTGTAGCCTTGGCTGTCCTGGACTCTCTTTGCAGACCAGGCTGGCCTCGAACTCACAGAGATCTACCTGCCTCTGCCTCTAGAGTGCTGGGGTCACAGGTGTGTGTGCCATCATGCCTGGCAGGAATACATTTTTAGTATAGCATCTTAGGTAATTATGAGACTTCACAGGCTTTTCTTTCCACGGCTCATTTAATGGGGCATCTTAACTTAAACTTTTTGCAATTTTGTTTTCAATTGATATAATGAAAACTAACATTAGTTGATCTTGGAAAACGATAAATTGCAAATAGCGTTTGAATGTTTTAGTTTTTGACAAGGCCTTTCTGCTAGTGCAGTTATTATTGTAGTGATTGTCACAGTATTTATAACCAAATTTAGAGTAAATTTCTGATAAATTATTTTGAAACACATTTTGGCCCATGTAGAGCTGATAGCTCTCATGGAACATTTTTTTTTCTAAAAATATTTAATCTTTTATATAAATAAATTTTGTATAAAACTAAATTTAATTTTAAATGTAAATTTATACAATAGAATTTTAATGTTTCCTTTGACATTTGCTGAAACTTGTAGAGATTGTACCAGAAACTAAATATGGCTTCCTGACTTGTGCAAAATTAAAAAAACATGGCTTATGCATTCTACCAATGTGTCTTTAATTACATAGAAATATTAATGTTTAAATCATGGTCCTTGCTAACCCGTCCTTCTGAAGCTTGCTGAGAAAAGTGGTATGCTTTACCAGTCAGTGCCCAGACACTGATAGGTACTGTCTCAAACCTGTGGCTATGTGCTTTGCAATCTTGAAATGGAGAAACTAAGCTCTTTCAACGGTGCCTCAGATTTTCTCACCCTGGTGTGTGTGCCCTTGAATTTCACATCCTTTACTGATAGTCTGCCGCTTGCATTTCAGTTGTTCCTGTCCTGGAAGAGACCAGACTTGGTGTTCGTGTGGGTGCCACAGGGTCAGGCTCTTGGGACCAAGGCTCAGGCCAACTTCTCACCATATCTGCAAGCAGGCTCTCCCTCTTCTACCGCCATGCCTGCTCTGGCACTGCTTCTGTGCTGCTTTTATCTCTGCTCCCTGTTGCAAATCTGGGCCTAGGTCCAAGTCCGGTAGTTTTGGTCAGTAAATACAATCTTCCTATGTTCCTAAGACCTTGGAAGATGAGCAGAATACTGCAGAAGAGGAACCAGGGATGTTTGTTTTCCTTTTTAAAGTATAATAAAATGTGCAACCTCTAATGGAAGGAGCTGAGACTTGCTGACTTCTGGAAGTCACTACAGCGGCCTCAGCAACCCCCTTAGCAGTGCCAGGAGACCCTTAGCAATGGGGACAGTTGTTTTGCAGGATGTCCAAGGATGTAGAAAACATTCTAGCTCACCAAGAATCTTCCGAAAATGGTGTTATGTGAAGATTTGGCAAGTATCCAAAAAATCCATCTCTTTCTGTTTTGAAACGGTCTCATTGTGTAATTCAGGCTGGCCCTAAACTAGCAACTCGCCTGCCTCAGCTTCCTGTCTACGGCGATGTACAGGCAGGCACCCTCACACCAGACTCCAAGCTGTATTTTTGCATAAGCTTGTGCTGACCTAAATGAATATCTCCTCCATGCAATGGTGCCCTCTCTCTTGAACCTTCTAACTACACTGAGGAAACCTAAGACCCAAACTTCAGCAAGTCTTCAAGGTTCTAAATGTGGGTGTGAAATATATTATGTCACTTTTAAGTGGTATTATTTTGAACATTCTTTGTTATGGAAATTTCAAACATATACAAAAAATAGAAAAGAAAGACAAGAAAACTACGAGGACACAAAAGTGAAAGGAACCCCTCATTTCAGAGTCTGGTTAAAGCCTCTCACCAGATGAGAAGCAAGACTTTAGCACAGTTAACAATATTTACTAGAAAGGCTGTCAGAGCACAAATAATGTATGTATTAGGTTTCAAACCCAGGATAAGCAGCTGATATTTGACATATCAGAGCTCTAACCTGAACTGTCCAGCCCTGGGCTGGGCTGCCCTTCCCCCAGAGGTTCTTCCATACGTAATCCAGACATTTTGGTTACCACTATTTTTTGTACCTTTTGTAGCTTTGGCCTCCTGGCTCTCCCTTCCCATCCCCTTCTCCCCACACAGTTCAAACTCATGACCATTCTGGACTCTCCCAGACATGTCTGCTTCTGGCTATGATAAACCTTCTTCTCCACCATACCTAGGAGCAGTCCTGTCCTTTTATTTTTATTTTTTTATTTATGTTTTTCTTTCATATACAGACATTTTATGTCAAAATAGGAATGATCCAGTCTTAAGACCTGAATGTATATGGCCCTGGGTGGGGTCTCATTCCTTTCTTTGATATTGCCTAAGTATCTCAAACAAAATTTTATAGTAAAGATATCCCTCCCCCCGTCCTGTTCCTGTGGGCTAGATTTTTACATCAATGACTGTAATCCTCCCGTGTGTCCCTTGGGAACCATTCAATATTAAGATAGTAACTTCAAACCCTTTCACAATCCTTTACTGAAATCCTGTTATCAAGTTCTGTTGTAAAGGTGGTGAGGTGCCCTGCCCTGCCTTTACCAATGCCTCCACGCATTACCTTTTTCTGAGCATCTGTTTTCTCCCAGGCCTCCTGCTTAAGCCTATATTAAGACATCTTTTAACATTGCCATTGCCCAGGTCTTGTATAGGCAGCTGTTCTTAGGAGACACAGTTTAGCAGCAGACTTCCTGGTCTTCTGGCTCTTACAGTCTTTCTGGCCCCTCCTGCATTTTCCTGGAGACTTAGGTGGAGTTATGTGCACTAATATTTCTCTTCTAAGCTCCACAGCCTCCCTTCTAGGGAGTAAAGAGATGGCTCGGCTGTTAAGAAGACTGGCTGCTCTGCTAGAAGTCCCAGGCTTGATTCCACACGGTGGCTCGCAACCTCTGTGAATCCAGTTCCAGGGGGCTTGGCAACCTTTTCTGGCCTCTGAAGGTATCAGACACATATGCAATGCACTCATATATCTATGCAAACACCCACACACAGTATGATTAAAATAAATACTTTTGTGAAATCTTTAATATAACCTCTAACTCTGCCTCAAAAACTGGCTAGTTCTCAAATTCTTTTCAGTGTTGAAGCCATAAATCCTGATTTGGCCTTTGTTGAGGTCCCTGAAACTCGAGGTGAACTCCCTAGGCCCCTGAGGGTGATGGTGGGGAGCTGTGCCTCCGTTAGCTGTACTCCAAAATGAGACATAATGAACCTGCTTGTATGTTTTAACTCATCTTCAACCATTTCATGAGTAAAAATTGTACCTTCCTTTCCTTCCTTCCTTCCTTCCTTCCTTCCTTCCTTCCTTCCTTCCTTCCTTCCTTCCTTCCTTCCTCCCTCCCTCCCTCCCTCCCTCCCTCCCTCTTTCTTTCTTTCTTTCTTTCTTTCTTTCTTTCTTTCTTTCTTTCTTTCCTTCTTCCTTTCTAGATAAGGTCTTCCTCTGTAGCCCTAGCTGGCCTTGAGCTCACAGAGGTCTGTCCTCCCCTGCCTCTTGAGTGCTGGGATTAAAGGTTGTACTACCACATCCAGCATTGTGAATATATTTTATTTCCCTTTATCCACTTCCCACCTCCAGGAACACAGTCTTTCTCATTTGTGTGCAGATACTTCTCAGATGTCTTTAGATCAGGTAGCTGCCGGGAGTGATGGTGCAGACCGTTAGTCCCAGCACTTGGGAGGCAGAGGCAGGCAGATCTCTGAGTCTGAGGTCAGCCTGGACTACAGAGTGAGTTCCTGGATAGCCAGGGCCACAAAGAGAAAACCTGTCTCAAAAAACCAAAAACAACAACCAAAAATTAGATAGCATTATTTCACCTGAAACTCAAATAGTTGTTATTAATTCCTGTAAGTCTTTTTATGTGTATGTGTATGCAAGTTTGTGTGCTTATGTTCATGTTCACGCACACACATGCGTGTGCACACAGAGATCAGAGGTCAGCCTCAGCGTCACACCTCAGCAATACTGTCCACCTTGCTTTCTGAGACAGGATCTCTCAGTGACCCGGAACTTCCCAGTTAGGCTACATTGGCCAGCCAGGCGGACCTGAGGTCTGACAGTTTTCCCATTGCTGAGCTCTTAACACCTTTCATCACGCTTAGTTAATTTGTTTGTTTGTTTGTTTTTTCTTTTTCTTGAGATAGGGTTTCTCTGTGTAGTCTTTGCTGTCCTGGACTCCCTTTGTGAACCAGGCTGGTAGTTAATTCTTTTCAAACATGGGTTCTGGGGATCAAATACAGATCTCATGCTTGCAAAGATAGGTACTTTACAGACTGAACTATCTTCCCAGGCCCTCCCCCCTGCCCCCAATTTTTTTTTGGTAATTCTTACTTACTTTCTCCAATTATCACTTAAAAAAAAAAAAAGACAAAGTGTTACTCTATGGACCAGGCTTGCCTTCAACTCCATGGGTGGTGGAGGCTGGCCATGAAGATGCCTGAGGAGCCACCACACCCAGGCTTATCACAGTTTATGTTTGATTCACAATCCTACCCAGGCCTACATGCTGCAATTAGCCAGTATGACTCTTTCAACATATAACTGTTCCACACACACACACTCTCTTTTTCTTTGCAATTTATTTGTTGAAGAAACAGGACCATTTGTCCTACACAGCTATTCATGGTCCTGAGTGCTCATGTCTTGAATCTAGTTGTGGTCTGAATGTTATAACCTTCCCCAAGTTAATACATTGAAATGCTGCAGTTTGTTTATCTATTTGTCACATTAGGGCTCAAACTTAGAGCCTGTGCATTCTGGACAAGCTCTTTACCACGGGTTGCACACACCCTTAGCCTCCTATGTTGATACTCTCACCCCTTAAATGACAGAACTTGCAAATGGGGCCTTGAGACGTGCTTAGATCATAGAGGCAGAGCCCTCCATAAATAGGATTGGCCCCTTATAAAGGGACCCCTGAGAGACACCCCATCTCCTTCCCCATATGAGGGAACCGGCCAGCAGGCCTTTTCCAGGCAGGGTACATGGACTGCTGTCTTAACCTTAGACTTCTAAGCCTCTAAAATGGAGAAATACTTTTCTCTGTACTTTACTAGATTTTGGTGAGAAGTCTGCATGGCTAAGGCCCCTTGGATAGTGTTACCGGCATGCGCCTGCTCCTTGTGTGTCTGTAACTTGTCTCTTTATTTCTGCAGGATTGGACCTTCGTCTTTGATTATTCGGCATGTGGTAACTTCCAATGTGGTCTGGTGACCCTTCGATCTCAACACGATAATGTCTCAGGGTTTAGAAGACGCTTACATTTAGAATTATCCATTAGCTGGACGATTCCTGAAAAGATAAACTTTCCTGCACAAAATACAGCAGCCTGGGAGATAATTTGGATAAAAACATTAAGAGCTTCACAATTCTTTCTCTTTATTTCCCAGTCTTTGAAATAATGAATTATTTTTCCCAGTATCTTGTGAATGTGGATTATTTAGTTAGGTTTTTAAAACTTAAAATTTTAAAGCCGGGTGTTGCTATACAGTCCTGGCTGGCCTTGAACTTGCTGTGATCCTCCTGCCTCTGCTTCCCCAAGATCTGGGATTGCAAGTGTGTACCACCATATCCAGAGATGAGGAGGTTTTCAAAGCCTAATTGGGAATTCATGGATTTGAACTTATTTGGTATATTTTGATCCTTATTAACACTCAAATTGCCCCGTCTCCAGCCAATTGAAACATCACCAAGTGGTTTTCCTTGATCATTTTAATAGGACCTCACTGGCACGTTTTTCTGTCCCAGATCTGGAATCCACTGATTCTCTAAGGTGATGTGTGTGTATATGTGTGTGTGTATGTATGTGTATGGT